TGATTTCTGTGTTGACCCAGGAGTTGTTCAGCATTGTGTCATTTAGTATCCATGTGTTTGTGTGTTTTCAGGGGATTTTGTTTGTGGTAATATTTATTTGTATTCTATTGTGGTCTGAGAAGGTGCATAGTAGTATTTCTATCTTATGGAATTTGTTTATGTTTGATGATTTATGGCTGAGGATGTGGTCAATCTTGAAGTATGTTCCATGTGATAATGAGTAGAATGTATACTCCATGATTGTTGGATGGAGTGCTCTGTAGATATCTATGAAGTCCATTTGATCAAGTGTCAAGTTAAGGTTCTGGATCTATTTATTGATTTTTTTGCCTCGATAATCTATCTATGGTTGTTAGTGGGGTATTTAAGTCCCAAGCTATGATAGTGTTAGAGGCAATATCCTTTTTTAGGCTACCTAGTAGTTGTTTTATAAATCCAGGTGTTCCTGTGTTGAGTGCATATATGTTTAGGAGGATATTTCTTGTTGATGGACTGAATTTTTTATCATTATGTAATGCCTTCTATATCTTTTTAAATTTTTGATAGCTTGAAGGTTGTTTTGTATTGTATTAAAATCATGACTTCTCTCTTCTTTTTTTTCCCATTCACCTGAAAGTTTATATTCCATCCTTTAACTTTGAGTCTGTGGGTCTCCTTTGTAGTAGGATATGTTTCCTGGAGGCAGCATATTGTTGGGTTGTGTTCTTTTGTTTATTTATTTATTTATTTTGAGTTGGAGACTCACTCTGTCACCCAGACTGGAGGGCAGTGGCCACTCCTGGCCATTGCAGCCTTGACCTGCTGGGCTCTGGCGATCCATCCACCTCAGCCTTCCAAGTAGCTGGAACTACAGGCACGCGCTACCACACCTGGCTAATTTTTTTTTATTTTATTGTAGAGATGAGGGCTCGCCAAGTTGCCCAGGCGGGTCTCAAACCCGCGGGCTCAGGCAATCCACTCGCATCAGCTTCCCAAAGTGCGGGATTACAGGCTGAGCCACCGAGCCCGGTTTGGGTTGTGTTCTTTTAAACCAGTTTGCCACTCTATGTCTTTTCAGGGGTGCATTTAACCCATTGATATTCAGACTGATTATTGAAATGTGACAGTTTATCCCTGTCATAGGCTCTTATATGGCTGTTTTGGTTTTTTAAAATTTTGACTTGATATGTGTGTGTGTTTCCAATTTTGCAATTGCAAGGTATGTTGTGTTGCTTTCATGTTTTCCTGCATCCTTGGGAAGTACATGGTTGTTTTTTCTTTCTCTTTTCTTCTGTGCTTAATAACTTCTTGAGCATCTCCTGTAGAGTTGGTCTGGAAGCAGCATAATCTCTTATGGATTGGATATCTGGGAAGGATTTTAATTCTCCATCACTGATGGAGCTGAGTTTGGCTGGGTGGGAAATTATTGGTTGAAATTGTTTATCTCTGAGTACTTTGAAAATTGAACTCCAGTCCCTTTTAGTTTGCAGTGTTTCTGCTGATAAGTCTGCTGCTCTTCTGATTGTTCTTCCTGGTAGGTAGTATGACCTTTCTCTCACTGCCTTTAGGAATTTTTCTTTTATACCTACTTTATGTAGGTGAATTACTATGTATCTAGGAGTTGGTCTTCTCATTTGATGTGTTGCAGGGGTTCTCTGAATCTTTTGTGTTTGGATGGTTGCATCTCTGGTGAGATGTGGAAAGTTTTCTTGGATAACCTCCTGGAATACTTGTTCCAAGGTGTTCTGCGTTTCCCTTTCTTTTTCTGGAATATCAACCGGGCATAAGTTCAGTCTCCTGATAATTGCACATCTCTTAGAGGCTTTGTTCTTTCTTTCTGAGTTTTCTTTCTATGTTTGTAACATATCAGTTTAATTCTATGTGCTGGTTTCAAGCTCTGAGATTCTTTCTTCTGCTTGCCATGCTTGTCATCTTGTTATTTATTTCCTGGATGAAGTTTTTTTGTGGCCAAAATCTCTGTTATAAATTTTTTCAGTGTTGTGGCTTGACTTTCTTGAGTCTTATTCACTTTTTCCATCCATTCCCTAATCCCTGTTGTATTCTGGGGCCCATCATTGGTGATTTCCATTGTTTGGGTTCTGAGGTTTAATTTTTTTTTCAGGTGCTGCTTCTTTAGTTCACTGGGAATTACCTGTGTTCTTTCATTGATTTTTTTTCTCATTTATGACAGATCTCTTTTCTCTTTAATTCCGTTTTTGGGTAGTAGTGTGCAAGGCTTTCTCTTCTGTTTTTTCTTAGTCCTCTATTCTGCCCTGGTCAGAGCCTCTGAATCTGTTGTTTTGAAACAGAGCTAGAGGTGGGAAGGTTTTCTGTTTCTTATAGTTTTGAGATTCAGATAAAGTGGTGGATGGATAGTTAGGATTCAGAAACTACTTGCAAGTTAGAATGTTCATTGACTGGTGTATGGGCCTCCTGAGACCCACTCCCCACCACCAGTCTATGTGATGAAGTAATGGGTAAGCACATGTACCCCTGAACCCAAGATGAAGTAACAGCAATTAGGAGAATGAGAAAAGTAGAATGAAATAGAATGGGTAAAAATAACAAAAAATACAATAAACCACAGAAAAGCCAAAGCAAAAACAAGAACAAAAAAGACAAAGAGAAAACAAAAAACAAGCCAAAACAAAAAACTAACAAAAAAGGAAACATTAAAAAACACAGAAAAACATACAAAAAAACAAACAACAGGAAAACCAAACACACACACAAACACACACGCACATGCACACATGTGCGCGCGCACACACACACACACACACACACACACCCACACACACCCTAAAAATTAAAGGAAAAATGGAGAATGAATGCAAAATGAACCCTTAGGCACACATTCACTCACTTTAAAAACAAAAGAAGAGCAAAACAACAAAAAAAATGGGGGGGATGCAGATCGAACCCTCACACACAATCAAACATACTCACACACTAAACCCAAATAAAAGAACAAAAAAGAATTTTAAAAAAATTTCTGGGCACTAACCATCCTCTTGTGGCAGATTCTTTAATTATTCCTCTCAGCTATTCTCAGGTAAACCTGTATGTCATCTCTTGTGGGGCTGGCTGGCTCATTCATAATAACATGTGGCCCAGGGGGATGAAGGGGTTTGGGTTGGGTGGGGCAACAGTCCTTACCTCCTGCTCTCTAAGTTCAGGGGAATTCCTTCTGGTGGGGAGGTGTGTGATTATCTCCTTCCCAGGTGCTGGCGGTGGGCACCCCAACCACACTATCCCAGAGTAGATCTCTCCTAGTGTAGCTGCCTTCCAGTCTCTACCTGTGTTCGTCCCTCTCAGTCGTGCCCCAACTGTGTGGGTCTGCCATTCAGAGGATTGCTGGGGAGGAGGAGATTGGGTCTGCCCAGGACTCACTACAGATCTCCTGGGAGGATCTTTGACCTTTTCTGGTCACACTCTTTGTCCCATGGCTGGATCAGGGTAGAGGGTGGGGTGCTTGCGACTTCACAATTATTTTGTCCCTCTGAAGGTTGTGCTTCTGGGATATTCCCTCTGGGTCACAATCAACCCCTGACTAGTTAACCTACCTATCTCAGAGAGGGGGTCTCTTGCTTCATGGTGAGCCAGCTTAACTGCCTAGTTTTCAAGATGGTGGTGGGGGCACCTGTTTCATCTTCTTCAATGGTGCTTTGCCTCTTCCTCCCTCACCACACTCTCTCCACAGCCCTTGCTGCCAGTGACCAGCCTGGCACTGTGATGGTGGGGTAGTCTGGCAGTGGTCGCTCCCTGTAGCTTCTTCCCAGGAAAAGGTTTGTTGATTTTAGAAAATGGCACTTGACTTCTGCTTCTTGGGAGGCACTAGGGTCCAAGGAGCTGCTGGCACCAGCTGTTTCACCATGAAAGCCCTGGCCACTTGCTCCTGAGTCCCTATGCAGTGAGACACTCACACCCCAACTTACAAACAGACATGCATGTAAATTATTTTTAATTCACTCACTCACACGGGGACTTGCACAGTCCGACTAGCTCTACTACCATCTTTTTTTTTTTCCTCAGTATTTAATCTTATTACAAAAAGTGTCATGATTTTGCAAGGAAGTTCCTGTGGTAAATATAAAACATCATTTTTTCAATTACAGAATATGCCAAAAAACAGAATTATGGGAAATAATGAATAATACTATTAACAAACAACAAAAATAAAACACTGTTCTCAGCTGCTACAGGATACACATTCTTAAGCTCACTTGAAATATGTGCTAAAATCATAATTTTCTACTTTTGGAGCACTTATTAAGTGCTTTATAAACATTCCATTTAATCCTTTCAGCAATTAAGTGGTGTCTTTATTTTTACTTTGTTAGTTCTGGTACACAAGTGAAGAAATGGAAGCTTAATGAGTTTGAATAACCTTCTCTTAGTCACACTAATAGTAAGTGAGAGAACAAGGGTTTGAGACAAGATCTTCCTTTATCTCCAAGGTCAGTGTTTACAACTCCAAGCCCTATCACCTCCCTATTAAATCATGTGGTGTTCAGTGACAGCAGATAGTGCTATTGCTAAGAGCCCCGTTGACTAATTCTGGCAGAGAATGGAATGAAATCACACAACCAGCTGATACTGAACAATTGTCCATTTGATGTCAGAACAGCAGGAAGAGTTCTAAAGAATTTTCTTTCAGTCATGTCTGCTCTCAGAACACCAACCACATCTAGAAATGTCTTCTTTTACTCTGGCAGCTGCTGACTATCAAGGACTTTCTATGCTTAGCAAATATTATAAACCTATTGGAATATTTTTACCCTTGCAGAATTTTTACTGTGCCTATATTTCCATGCTTTTTTATGCAGTCATGCTATTTTTGTAGTGACATCAACTTTAAAGTCTTACAAAAGGAAATTATAAGAGTAACGGTTCTCAGCATAATTCACCCTTGCAGACAACCAATGAGGTTTTATGGTTTGTTTTCCATTTGGACTTGGTCATATCTTGAGTATATCATGAAGTTTTCTAACATTTATATGTGTACACATGTATTTTAGGATGGAGGCCTAGAAGAACAATTTTGTTTGCAAGCTGGGATGCAGAAGAATTTGGTCTTCTCGGTTCTACTGAGTGGGCAGAGGTTAGTTGGTAATTTGCTGCAATGTAAATTTTGTATAGTAATAAAACATGTAGGACTTAATTGCCAAGCAATTAAAAATAATAAGTGCATTCAGTGAGAAAATATTCTCTCCCCCCCAAAATCTGAAGCAACATATTCTAGCTCAAAAATCGACAATAAAAATCTCTTTGTTGCTAAAGAACTAAGCTTCATTTGAACTGTTTAGAGCTCTTTAATGTCAATTGTCAAAATTAATTTAGCTTTATTTCTGGGGAGTGTGATAGACATACTAGGAACCAAACATCAAAACCTATTTGGGGCTGAGGTGAGTGGATTGCCTGAGCCCGTGGATTCGAGACCTGCCTGGGCAGCGAGACCTCATCTCTACAATAAATTAAAAAATCAGCCGGGTGTGGTAACGCATGCCTGTAATTCCAGCTACTTGGAAGGCTGAGGTGGAAGGATCACCGGAGCCCAGCAGGTCGAGGCTGCGGTGGCCGGGAGCAGCCACTGCACTCCAGTCTGGGCGACCGAGTGAGACTCCAACTCAAAAAAAAAAGAAAAAAAAAAATCTATTTGGTTTCATTATGATTCTACTTGGCTTTTCGAATAGCTGCTAAAGTGAACTGCATTTAAATACCCTTTGAACTTCTACAATAAGTTATAATTTTTACATTTATCTTTACACCATAATGACCTACTCTATATTAAATCATGTTAAAAGTAAGACAGAAAGTTTCACCACAAAATATTTATTAGCTCTCTTGAAAAGTCATTTTACCTGCATGTATTGGCTTTGTATAAATAATGTTAAGTAAATATATGCAAGGTTAATATTTATTCCATTAATTTCCAGTCATACTGTATATGTTTATTGACTTTTATTGTACTCCAGTTATTACGTGAACTCCTGTAAACTCTAATTTTCTTTGGGAAAAAAAAGTGCTATTTTTTATTTTGTCTATAGACTTACCTAAAGCTTTTACAAGAAAGAATTATATCTGTGTCTGTAAGAGCCTAAATATTTTGAGGGTAAGATTTGTCTTTTTCAAATTATTTCCTTCACTTGGAGTTGCATTTTTTTTCATTTACTCTCTCACAGTCAGAATGCTTAGAAATGTATGTTTTGGAGACTCAAAATACACATTGATATCTCAAAAAAAGTTGCCACGGTTTTTTTTTTTTGCATGCTCTAAAAATGTGTAATTTATCAACATTCAACAGCAGATGGTGCCATCTTACAAGATTTGACTTATTTGGGGTACAGAGAGGAATTTTTCATAAATTGAAATAGCTCATTCTCTGTGAGTCACGCAAGAGTCTCTGCTTAAATAATGAGAATTTCATGAGAAGCCTGTCATTGAAAAATCTCTTAAGTTGGCCAAAATTAATTTTTGAAGGGTAAATTACAGTGTATTTAATAAATTAACTACTTTTCCATTTACCATAAGTCTGCAGACAGTTTCATCTTAAAAGTTAGTTTTAAATAAATTTTCCTTGTTGTTTCTTATCAATAACCTTTATTCAAATTCTTTCAAGCCGATTCTCTTTTGGGACTCAGGTCAAATTTGTGGTTAACATGGGTCAACTTAATTTAGAAATCTACGTTCAATAAATGTATGTGTGCATTTGGGGGGAGCAGAGTGGGTTATGATGATATGTTTACAGTTTTCTGTTTTATTATAGGAGAATTCAAGACTCCTTCAAGAGCGGGGTGTGGCCTATATTAATGCCGATTCTTCTCTAGAAGGTGAATCTCATTGTTCTCATAAGATGTAATTATGGCAGGAGCTACTATCTAGTTTATAAATTATGAACCAACAAGGAGGGCAGTCCATTCACATGTGAATAGGGAACCTGCGCCTGTTTTTCCAGCCCTAGTTGAAAGATGTATTTTTATTGGCTTGAGGTATAGAATACTGATGTGAAAAGCAGTGTTCTTTGATGAACAGACTCCCTTATATATGGCAGGAATTTAGTAGGCACCTGTTGAATGCCTAAAGAGTTCTGCAATTTTAGCATGGGATTGAAAAAAGCATTTAGTTTTAATCCCCAGTTTCATCATAATATTTTAACACTTTTGAAAAATACTGATTTTCAATATTTCCTCTCAAGTGTTTTTTAAAAATTATTACTGAAAAATGATAAGCAAGTTCTTAAATTTGTATTTAAATCAATGTAGCAACAATTTCCTGAGTGCCTCTCTGTGCAATTTACTTTTTTAGGGATTCAGAGGAAACAGAGGCTAGTTAGTAAGGAATGAGCTTATACTCAGGAACTTGTAGCTCAGTCTAGGTGATAAAATAAATCAGTGTTGGATTATAATACATGCAAGTACTATTTGAGGGGTGTGAACAAACTGCTCTGGGAGTTCAGAGGACAGAATGATAGCAACTTCAGGAAAGGTTTAAGAAATAGGATAGGCATTTGAGACAGGCCTTGTATCATGAGGTGTGTTTAATAAGCAAAAGTTCAAACTAAAGGGCTTCTCAGGTTGATTTCTGCCAAAATGAAGCCCTCCACTGTCTCTGCATGGCAGCTCCACTCATCTTCCTGATTCATGACCATAAGCGACTTCCCAGACATTGCACTGCTGTTCTCTGCACTCAGATTTCTCTTCAGTACATTTTCCACCAGCTTAGTACTTATCCTCATAGTCCCCCTGGAATGTTACTTTCTCAGGGAAGCCATGTCTTTGCAGCACTCATAACTATCTGTATTAAATAATTATTTGTTTTACTCGCTGCCTTTCTCAATGGCTTGGATTCTTTGGCAAGGAAAAGACAGCATTTTGCTTGTTTATTCCTGGAAGCCTTATATCTTGTTAAATAAGTATCAGTGGCATGAATGAATTAAGGTAGACTTAGAATATATGTATTCACCTGGGCTGAGGCCATCCACCTCACCTTCCCTAGTAGCTGGGACTGCAGGCATGCACCACTGTACCTAGCCTTAGTTATTTAGACTTGATTTTTAATGCATTTTAAAAAGTCATTATGTTTTCCTTATGTCATTCCTTGGTTTGAAATGCTTCATTGTGTCCCCATAATTTTCAAAATCAAGAACAAAGAACACGCGAGGTACAGTATGATTGGGATACCATCTCACTTTGTTTTCTAATTAAAATGTTATTAAATGTTCATTTATCAAATAATACAATTATGAATTCTTGAATTTCTAACGTTAAAATGAAAAATTTACAAATAAGGCAAAACTTCCACACAAGCCAGTCTCAAACTTTCTCCCCTCTCCAAAGATGCTACCATCCTCACCTCCAGGTGTTTCCATCATGTTGACATTCATATGTAGAATCTAGCTCACACAAAGTGCTGTTAATGCCTCAGGTGCTGTGTTAAGTGCTTTACATGGCAAAAAAAAAATTACTTGATATTCACAATAACCTCTGAGGTAAGTACTTTTATTATCTCTGTTATATAGAAGAGGAAACTGATACTCGGAGGGGCTGAGTAACTTTCTCCAGGTTTCGCAACCAGTGAAAGTTTGAGATTAGACTCAAATCATGCTGGTTTGTCTCAGCTCTATCCTTCTAGCCACTGCACTCTGTTGCCTTTTAGCACTCTGTACAAGTTTGGTATCATATTTTAGCTAAATGGTTCTACAACTTGCCTTTTTCATTCAGCAACATATTGTGAAACACCTTCCATGTCAGTACATATCTATCTACTTCACTTAAAAACAAACAACAAAAATCTTCACTTTTATTTTGAGTTGGAGTCTTGCTCTGTTGCCTAGCCTGTGGTGCAGTGGCACGACCATAGCTCACTATAGTCTCAACCTCCTGGTCTCAAGTGATACTCCCAAATTGCCTGAACTACAGGCATACAGCACCATACCTGGCTAGTATTTTCATATTTTGTAGGGATATGATCTCGCTATATTGCCCAGGCTGGTCTGGAACTCCTGGTCTGAAGCCATCTGCTTCAGTCTTCCAAAGTGCTAGATTACAGGCGTGCCACCAACACGCCCAGCCTACTTTGTGTTAAATAGGACAATTTATATATCAGTTATCTAACTGAGGGATATGGTCAGGTTGCTTCAGTTTGTTGCAGTAAATATCCTTTAATTTGCATATTTGTTCTATAGAAAGTATAGAGGGGCGGGTAGATCGCCACAAGTATAATTGTTTGATCCCAGGATATGAGCATTTCAAGTTTAATAAATGCTGCCACTGTCCTTCCTTATAACTTTTTCTGTTTTAAAAGTTACATTAGCTATGTGTACATATTTATTTTTCCAGATGAAGCTTAGAATTCTGAAATCAACATTTCAAGCTCCATAAACAACCCTGCTGGGGTGTCTCTATTTGCAAAGCCTCAACTTTTGCTGGGCCTAGACATGGATCAAAGCTTTGGGATCAAGACTGCTTTCCATCCTCTGAGTGTATTTGTGTGCTTTTACATTTCTGGGCATTTATTTATTTATTTATTTTGAGTTGGAGTCTTACTCTGTCGCCCAGTGGCCATTGCAGCCTCGGCCTGCTGGGCTCTGGAGATCCTTCCGCCTCAGCCTTCCAAGTAGCTGAAACTACAGGCGCACGCTACCACGCCTGGCTAATTTTTGATTTATGATAGAGGTGAGGTCTCGCCAAGTTGTCCAGGCGGGTCTCGAACCCTCAGGTTCAGGCAATTCATTCACCCTGGCCTCCCAGTGTGCGGGATTACAGGCTGAGCTACTGAGCCCGGCCATTTCTGGGCATTTATATAGGCTTTGCCCATAGTTGCAAAAGTGATTTCTTTTCTGCCTAGCTGACTCCTTCTGGTTCTAGAAGACTCAGTTAAGAGTCCACCCTAGGTGAAGTTGTGTTGATTGTCCAGCCAATCCCCCAGGCAGCCGCCTCCTCAGGCAGCTGCCTGGCTTCCCAAGAGCCCTGCCTTGGCTGCTTCTCGTGCCTCTAACACCCACCAGCCCGTGAACTTCCAAGGAACAGGGACTCCAATTCTCCTCTCCATTAAGAACTAGTTGGAGAGCACCTGGCCCACACATTCATTTTCACATCAAATATTTTTAAGGAGAAATGCTAAATACTAGGACTGTTCTAAGCACTGCGGATGTGGCAGCAAATAAAAAGGGAACTTGTTCCCATGGGATTTTTAGTCTATCGGGAGGACAGACAATGAAAGTACAAGTACATAATATGTCAGGTAGATGAGTAGTGTGGAGAAAAATGAGCCACGGTGAAGATAGATAGGGGCTGGAAGGGGGATGGAACAGTGCTGTTTTAGGTAGGGTGGTCGGAAGTCTCTCAGAAGATGTGAGGTTGAACCAGAGGAGGTGTGGGGCATGCAGACATAATGCTTAAGACTGTTCCAGGTGGAGGGAACAGTGTGCGCAAAGACCTAAGGGAGTATTCTGAGGCAGAGCATGAGACGAAGATTTGAGAGACGGCCTGGGGTTGTCTCCGACATGGCACCATGGGCTGCGGTGAGGAGGATGATTGTTACAGAGTGGGATGGGGAGCCGCTGGGAAGCTGAGGTTGTAAAAGGATCATTCTGGCTAGGGAGTTAGCAATGGTCTTTGACTTACAGAATAACAGAAAGAAATCACAATTTTTAAAATCTGCCTTTTCTTTATCTTTCAGGAATCTACACTCTGAGAGTCGATTGTACTCCACTGATGTACAGCTTGGTATATGACCTAACAAAAGAGGTAAAAATAATGACATATAATTTAAGAAAATCTAAGTTCTACAGACAATGTTTCCTCGAGGTACTATTATTAAGTTAGACATTGGTGTTGTTTTGTAATTCATTGCCTTTGTTTCATGCAACCCATATACACTCCGCAGAACAGCACGTGTAATAAACTGTTTTCACATACGACTGCCTTCCTCCCTCACCAATATGAGGCAGCCTGTGGGTGGCATCGTGTCTACCATCTCATTTGGAAACAAGGAAACTGAGCTCAATCATCAACTCCCAAAGTCATACAACTTGTACGGCAGCTGAACCAAGACTTGCTTCTATGGTTTAGCTCCTTATTTTAAAACTAGTTTATACTTCTCAATATGGCAGTATTAATTAATTCATGACACAAGACCCATTAAAGATTATTACTGGTTGAGAAAGAATATGCATAAAAATACCAAGTACTAGCTTCCAGGGGCAAATCATTTTGGGGCAGAAGCTGGGTGAGGTCACACAGGTCCTTTCAGGCTTTCTGCCTTGGGCTCCAGCCTCTAGCCCCACTGCGCCTGGCTGACAGCTCGGTGTTGCCTGATTCTCACAACAGCAGAAGATACTGAGCCTGGCTGATAGGAGGGGCCCGAATTCCTATAGGACTGACAGGTGGTGCTTTACTTTAGTTCTCTTACTCCAGAAATCCACTTGTCCTGATCCCAAAGTTAATCAGAATGGAGTGGTTTTTGCATGACAGGTTTACTGCTAACTATCTCTAACTGACCTGAATTGAACTAGAAACAAAACAAAATGCTGTTTATTTAATAAAATTACTAATTAAAATGTAATTACCAAGAAAAACACAATTATATTCTTTCATATAGGGCTTATACATAAAACCTAAATGTTATTAGGCTATGGTTTCAAAAGCATAGAAGTTAATCATATATCTTAACTTATTGGAATATAAAAATTGATATGAAAATAACTATTCTTGGCCGGGCACAGTGGCTCAAGCCTGTAATCCCAGCACTTTGGGAGGCCAAGGTGAGAGGATTGCTTGAGCCTGCAAGTTCAAGACTAGCCTGGGCAACATGGTAAGACCTCATCTCTACAATAAAAATCAAAAAAATTTGCCAGGCGTGGTAGCGCACACCTAGAGTTCAAACTACTTGGAAGCCTGAGGTGGAAGGATGAACTATTCATCTAATTAACTAAGAACTCCATCATTTGCCTGAAGTTTTATCAATCACCATACAGCATATAAAATTTAAATATCTGAAACATAATATTTGAGATAATTGCCAACATTCATGTAATTTAAATTTAATGCTGAAAAAGCTTGGCAGTTACTTTTTTTACTACCTGGATTGGTGGCATCCCATGATAGTTACAGAAAAAATTACTCTCTAGGTCAGGTTTGAAATGATATGATTCTTGAAAATTTGAGAGTCTGTTTTGGGAAAGTGATTTGCAGTATTTCAAATTTTGCTGATAAAATGATGGTTTCATAATGTATTTTTACAGTATTTCAAATTTGCATTTCTGAGAATAGTGCACGGTCCCTTATTTTTTATGTAAATTTAAGCTTGAGTGAAATAATTTTATTGCTTTATTTATTTGCATTTTATAAATTAAGTTGTTGGCATAACTTCTGATTCTGTTTGTTCATACAGGCTCTCTTTTTAATGTATATAGCTGCAAAGTCCTGATAAAGCCTGCACATATCTATTATAGCACATTTAATTGCACATTTTTTACTCACAGGGGACCTATTAGTAGAGAGTATAAGTATTATTGATCTCTGTATCCCTAAAGTCTACAAAAATTCTTAAACAATGTAGATACTCTATAATATTTTTGAATAGAATTTGTTGAAAAATAGTACATATGACTTAAATGAATTAAATATAAAATAAAACATTTTATACCATATATTGTTCAATTACCTGTAAGTAATAATGGAACATTAATTAATCTAGTTTGCTAAGTCTTTTTGGCACAGCACCTAATGCTCTTAGTCTAGAGTTCAATCATAGGTCATATATTACTCCTTTGGTTTTCTTCTCTGTAAAACCAGAAAATGTATTTAAGTAAGCTCAATGTTTAACCCAGTTACAATACATACTCAGTTAAATAAAATATTAATTACATTGTATCTTATTATGCATTATTTATTGACTTTGGCAACCTTACTGGCAAGAAACATTATTAAAATGAATACTTTCCCTTAGACAACTGGCTAACTTTATTTTATTTTCATTTTTCATAAAAGAGAAGAAATATATGATTTTGAGAATAGTTTCTCTCAAATTAGAAAAACAGATAAAAAAAGTATACAATACGACAGTTCATCTAAAGACAATGACTTGGTGCTAAAATGATGTAATCTTTTTTCTATGAACTTTATACATTTCTTTCTATAATGTGGTTGCATTTATACATAGTAATATGTACTTTTTTCATAGTCAGAAACTTATATTGTAATTTTCATGGCTTCCAATTAATGAATTAATTGCATCTCTGGTTTTGTTGAACTGTAATTCAGCTATTCACTTCCTGGTTGATGGAATTAAGGTTTCAATACATCTCGTTTATTTGTTGTCTTCTTTTTTTTTTTTTAATGTATATAGCTGCAAAGTCCTGATGAAGGCTTTGAAGGCAAATCTCTTTATGAAAGCTGGAATGAAAAAAGTCCTTCCCCTGAGTTTAGTGGCATACCCAGGTAAACAAATGAAACTTTCTTCTGAATTTAGTGTGAGGTTGTTTTGACAATAAGAAGGTATTTTCTTTCAATCATTAATTTTAAAAAAACTAACTTTCAGAATCCTCTAAAATATAATAAGGGAAAAATATTACTTAGGTTCACGAGTACAATATTATTTGTATGTTTTGAAGTTAAATCTGTAGGGCATCAAAAAATGTTTCTATTTTGAATAGGTAATATATACACATGGTACATTAAAAAGGTTATATAGGTTGAGTATTCCTTACACAAAATGCATGGGACCAGAGGTTTTTTAATAATTTTTTTTTTTGGAGTTTCAATTTTTTGGGGTTTTGGAATATTTGCATTATTCTTACTGGTTGAGCATCCCTAATCCAAAGAACCCAAACTTGAAAAACTTCAGTGAGCATTTTTTTTTTTTTTTTGTGAGTCAGGGTCTCACTCTGTTACCCCTAGGTTGGAGAGGAGTGGCACACGATCACAGCTCACTGCAGCCTCAACCTCCTTGTCTCAGGTGATCATGTGACCTCAGCCTCCTGAGTAGCGGTTTCATGCCCAGCTCATGTGATCATTTCCTTTGAGCATCATGTCAGTGCTTAGAAATTTAAAGACTTTGAATTTTCAAATTATAGATGCTTAATCTGTAATGGAGATAATAGTGAAAAATAATTGCCCTCATATTTCTGTCTCCTCATGACTCTGTAATTATTCTTTTTCTAAGGATCATATAGTTAACAAATATTTTGGCTACTCTAATAAAAATATAAGCATCACTTCAGCATTGACTGTATCTTCACAAGCAAAGGGAGAGAGGAATATATATTTCAATAGTCTATGATTATAGGTATCAATAGCATGAGTAATTTAAATTAATAAGAACAAAACTTATGTCTGAATTATCTAAAAAAATTCTTGCTTCTTTTCACTCTATCCTGTGTAACAAATAAAATAGTAGAATGAAGAATCTAAAGGAAAATGATTTCCAGCTTTAGGAATCTTTTTAAAAAATGTGACTTACATAATAGTTACTCCTGCACTAAACAGTCTTATAAACGTAGATTTTTATTATTAGAATTAATATTCCTTTCATTTTTGCTGTATATCTAAGGCTATACATTTAAAAATTATATTTATGATAGTAAGAATGGAGTTTAGTTTAATTGATCTCTAACCTGGACTTGAGGAAGAAATTACTCTGACATAGTTCTGTTATTTTTTCCCTAAAAGAATTGGCAAGTTGGGATCTGGTAATGATTTTGAGGTGTTCTTCCAAAGACTTGGAATTGCCTCAGGCAGAGCACGGTATACAAAAAATTGGGTAAGTCTATTTCAATACATTCTGTAAGATTGTTTTGAATATATTTTAACTGAACAAATACTTCTGACTCCAAAAAAAAGTGACTCAAGCATTAGAAGGAATAGAGGAATTTGAAAGCAGAAGGGAGAAGTCTTCCTGGTTGACGGCGCTTCTACCACATGGGATAGTGTCTGCATCTGGTGTTCTGAGCCCTGTGTTCAAGTATTATTGGCACTAATTCTCATGACTTGAAACTTGACCTGTGTATTCTTTTAATCATATTCTCTTTTGTTGTTGATGATGATTTTTTTGTTTTCATTTTCGTCAAAGTAACATAGGTACATCATTTATAAAATGTCAAGTAGCTCTTAGAGAGCTTAAAGACAGTGGTTTCTTATCTCACTTTCATGATTGTCCCATCCCTAATATATGAGCATCAGATTAAAACACTTGCAAATTTTTAAAATTGGTTTCTTCTGATCCCTACCTTTGTGTTTATAAATAATGTATTTATGTTGCTACTTCATTTTTCAGTTTTATGTTGTTAAAGACACATGTTAAAATGGTAAAAAAGACTTTATTTAAAAATATTGCAGTAGGGATATTGCAGCAGGGGAAGGAGACTGAGCTCAATTCCAAATACAGTAAAGGCGGCTGGGGATTTACATTCAACATTCAGGTTTTTTTCATTTGAGCTAGTTGTTTTTCACACACAGAAAATCTATTTTTTTTGAGTTGGAGTCTTACTCTGTCGCCCAGGCTGGAGTGCAGTGGCACACTCACAGCCACCCCAGCGTCGATCTGCTGGGCTCCAGTGATGCTTACGACTCAGCCTTCCAAGTTGCAGAACTACAGGCGCACGCCACCATGCCTGGCTAAGTTTTGATTTATTAAATTGCCCGGGCTGATCTCGAACCCATTGTCTCAGGCAATCCACTCACCTCAGCCTCCCAAAGTGCTGGGATTACAGGCTGAGCCGCTGAGTCACTGAGCCCCGCTCACAGGAAATCTTTAATATCCTGCCATTGGGGTAGAAACGCAAGGTTATATGGAGGATGGTGCTGAGAGTAGATATTATTATATTATCTATGTTTTACTTATGGAAAAATACTATGACAAAGAAAGGTCAGGTAACCACTCACAATTTTTGGAAATTAAGTTGTTTTTTTTTTTTAAATCAGAGTCTTATACTGTCATCCAGACTGGAGTGCAGTGTCATGGTCACTGCTACCAGATTCTCAGCCTGTTGGATTCAGGCGATCATTCCACCTCAGCCTTTCTGGCAGCTGGAACTATAGGCGCACACTACCATGCCCGGCTAATTTTTTTTTTTTTTATTGTAGAGATGAGGTCTTGCTGAGTTGCCCAAGTTGGTCTGGAACCCCTGGGCTCAGGCATTTCTCTCGCCTCTGCCTCCCAAAATGCTGGGATTACACACGCAGTGGTTAATAAATTCTGTAGTCTAGATTGAAACCCTGACCGGCCAGGGTTCCAGAATCCAAGTGTCTTCAACACATCTCTATATAAATTGTTCCTTTATATCAAAAACATAAACAGCATCTTAAGAATGGTCAAACATTGTAAACTAGCAGTTTACATTTTGAAATGTTCTTCTTTCTTCCTTTTATGGGTGCTCTTGGCTTTCCTTACACCTGCTTGTGCATCCTTTTGCTCTTCTCAGTGAGTCCACTGCTGAACCCCTCACCACTCAAACTCTCCATCCTTCAGCACACTGGTTGTCAGAGAATCATTTATTCATGAAATTTCAGTGATAAACAATTTAGCATTCTTTCTTATGTAATATTGTGTAATGCTTATTGCCTCTAACAATTCTCTGTCTTCGTACATCAGTATTACTCAAATGAAGGATTGTATTTTCTTTTATTTAAGATTCTTTAAATGTCTCCACATTTCCTGTATTATTTTTTTTTTTTTTTGAGTTGGAGTCTCACTCTGTCACCCAGACTGGAGTGCA